TAAAAGGCTGAGGCGGAAGGATCGCCGGAGCCCAGCAGGTCGAGGCTGTGGTGACCGGGAGCGGCCACTGCACTCCAATCTGGGCGACAGAGTGAGACTCCAACTCAAAAAAAAAAACAAAAAAAACTGGACATGGGCAGAGCTTCAGAATTTGCAAACCACTTCCAGACACTACTCTACTTGCATTAACACCAGACCTGGGCCATAGGAAGGGCCAACTCTGTCCTCTGAGTCCATTACCATGATCAAACCAAGGCCACCGATCCCCCAAGCCAGGGGGCTTCCAGTGTATGCTTGACTTTGCCTTCAGTGGCGAGAACCGCTGCTAGAAGTTTCCGTGACGAATTTTGTCTAGCAGCAGGAAAGGTAAAGCGGCTTCCCATGAGACACAGCTGTATGTCACAGCCAACCTCCATCCCTCCTGTCCCACGGTCACCCAGGGAGGCAGGAGTTGAAGTTCTTGTAGACGCCACAGTTAACATCGACTCAGGGAGGCGACGGTCGGACGATCGGTTTTATGAAATTAACTCTGAAATATGGGCCTGTCTCTCTCTTGAAAGAAGAACTTTATTTCAGTCATCGTAACTCACTTTTGAGATAATGTGGCGGTTTTTCTTTGCTCTGTAAATCATCCCACGGCCTTTGCAATTTGGGAACACGAACCTGATCTGGTATAAATCCCAGAACCGCTGGAAAGGGACGACTGCCCGATGCCTGTGTCTAACTGTGTGGACTGGATTCAAGCACTTCTTCCCACCAGGAGGCCCGGCCTGACTTCCCCCGGGTGCCAGCTCTCAGTGAGGTAGACCAAGGTTCCAGCCCGGGCTTGGCTACCACGCCCCATGAAACGTTGGGGAGATCAGCCGACCCCTCCGGTCATCAGCCCTCCCATCCATAAAATGGGTCTAATGAGACCTATCCCACCACCCTTGCAGTTCCAGGGATCTTGAGAGGAGAAGCCAATGGGAAGATGGACATAAGCCTTCTGGAAGGATGGCAAAGTGCTAGGCAAACAGGAAGGAATTATTCACGTGATCTCTGCAGTGGCTCGCACCCCTCTCTGGGCTAAGCAGGATGTTTAGGGGGACTTCCTTCCTTCCCAGGGAGGCCATTGTCTTGAGGAAAGGATAACTCGCCTGTTCCATGGGTCCCGCTCTGCGAAGGTGCTTGGCACACTCCTGCTCCCAGCGCCATTTATCACGGGGTGGTGCTCAATTGGGTTTGGGGGGGGTGGGGGATGGGAGCGTCGAGTCCAAAATTATATTATTTGCGAAAAATCCATTCTTTCCTCCCAGCACGCCTGCTCTATTGACTGCCTTTCTTTTCAGTCAGCTCCTAGTCATCACACTGTATTTCACAAAAGAAGAAAACCACCCTCTTTATATAAAAGTGTCCATGAATATAAATGTCCCTCCTTGTTCCTTATCTTAATTCCTTTTTGTTTTGGAGTTTGTTTTTTTTTTTTTGGTCCCCCCCACATCTCAGTTTATTTTCTGTCATCTCCACCCATCTCTCTCTCTTTCTCTCCTTCAAGATGCTGCTCAAAGGGCACCTCCTCCAGGAAGCCCTCTCTGCTCCAGCAACATTGAGCCACCCAAGGCTCCTTCTTCACCCTGTTCACCTCCTCTGTACCCTGCACATCCTGGACCCTCTGCTGGCTAACTCTACTTCATCCTTGAGGGCTGGTCTCAGAGGTCGCCTCCTCCAGGCAACCTTCCTGGGCTTCATCAGACCCAGTGAGAGCCTGTCCTCTGGGTGCCTGGAGCATCCTGTGCTTGTCATACTCTGTGGCTTGTTGTTCGGTCCCCGGTCAATCCAGTCTGTCTCCCCACTAGACCGTGCCCTCCCCGAGGGCTGGAGCTTTGTAATGACAACCTAACCTCACAGTTCGTGCAGGCCAGCCACGCCACAGAAGCTCAGCTTCCATTACTGTTTGTTCCTGCCGTGGTCCCTGCTACCATCTCAGCCTTATCTTGACCGATACCCACCCCGATCACCGTGCTCCAAACACACTGAGGTGTTTAAGCCTTTTGGTCCAGGAACACCCTGAGCTCTTTCGAACCCCAGGGCCTTTGCATCAGCTGCCTCCTTTGCCTGAAGCCCCTCACTCAGCTGTTTGCCTGGCTGAGTCCTACTCATCTGTCAGGTCTCAGCTCAAATATCACCCCTGCTTTATTTTCTGTCCTGGCACTCTGCATATTTTCTTCACAGAATGCCTCATGATGTATGATCCTCTCTCCTACTGGTGATTCTAACGCAAGTTCCATTAGAACATAAGCCCCACGAGGGCGGGACTTTCCTGTCTGTGGTCAAATCCCAAGGGCTTGGCTCACAAGGATTTGCTCAATAAACACTCGCCAAGAGAATGAGTGGACGAGCTGTGGGAAGGGACCCCGGGGTCCTGCCCTCTGTCCCCTTCCCCCCTCCCAGCTGAAAGGACTGATGTCTCCAGACCCAAACCAGCCCCTGAGAGGGGGGGTCCCAGCAAGGAAAAGAGAGAGGAAAAAAAAACACACCTCCTCTGGTTTATAGGAAAATTAAATATTGAGCTGAGTAGTCACAGCAGCCCAGGGAAAGGAAAAAAAAAAAAACCCAACAAAATCCCCCAAATGGAGCAGCCGCCGGTGATAGGATAAATGCCACGTCTGCATGTATGTGGGCTTATGCGGGTGCTTTTGTGTGGCAGCTGCTGAGCTGCACCCAGCCTACCCCCTAAACTTGAAAGTGGCTCCGAGAGCCCCCGTGCCGATGCAGGCGTGCGTGCGGGGCGGGCACCTGGGTCGGGGTCACCGCCGGGCCTTTCTGCGTGCAGCAGGGGCGGGAAGGGTCCCCTGCCCACCGGTGGATGCCACCGGCCCACTTTCCACTTGGGGCGGGAGCGGGGGCTGCTGGAATCACCCGCTCACCTCCCCTGCCAGCTGTTGTGCTTTCTCGGTGGTGGAAGATAAAATTAACGGCCCCAACTGGAGGCTCTGGAAGCCCGGGTTGACTGCTAGGGGTGGGGGCAGAGGGAGCAGGGGAGGGAGGGGAGTGGCAGCTTGCCAGGCGAGAGATCAGTGAGGCGGAGCAGAGCGGGATCTAACTCAGGTTACTGCCCACGGAGAAGTAAAACCCTGCACACCCTACCAGGGAGGCAGGGAGGCCCGGCCACAGGGCTTGCGCTGGGTCCAGCGTTGTATTCTGGCGCTATCTCCCGGACTCGTCCTTCCACCTGGTGGTTCTCGAAGTGTGCTCCCTGACACCAGCATCCACATCCCCTGGGAGCTTGTGAGACGCATGGCTTCGCAAGCCCCCTTCCGGATCTGGCCGACCCCGCTGTGGAGGGTTCCAGCTGTACGGGGTTCAGCAAGTTCTCCAGGTGGTTCTAATGCAAGTTCAAGTGTGTGCACCACTGCCTTGGCCTGGGAAAGGTTTGGTTGTCTCATCTCTAAATTAGGGATGATAAGAACCACCCGACTGCGCTGTTTCGTGAACGGAGAGCCTGGTTCATAGTAGATGCTCAGCAAATGGCCGTGAAGAGTCTTACCGATAGGGAAGGGAGCTGGAACACCCTGTCTGGGCTACTCCCACCCTCAGCAGACAGGACATAGGTAGAACTCCCCCAGGACTTCCCTGACCCTGAGGATCCCCCAAATCCCCAGACCCCGCTCCCCCAACCGGGCAACTTTCTCTTCCCCTTGATGACCACTGGTTAATGTTCCCAGACCTCTGATGGGTCGGAGGCTTAGGGCCCCTCCCACCGGCTCTGGGTTTTGCAACCTGGAGGCAGCCCGCCCGCCCGCAGCCTGTGGATGGCCGCTGCTGTGACCGCCTCTGCTCTTCCACGCCATTGTCGTTTATGTGGCAATCGAGAGAATGTGTTTAAGTCCCACGACAGGTGCCGTGTCTGCAGAGATGAAATCTATGGAGTGTAACAAGAATCCGTTTTAAATAGCAGCAAGGCTGGCCAATTTGGGGGATGTTTTCAATCTATCCCAGAGGTATGTATTACACACACGGGCAATTTCACCAGGTACCATATTTGCAGCTTTATGAGAGAAGCCTCCGGGAGCCTGCGGAATCTCGGAGGTAAGTAGGGAGGCATGCTCAGAGCCGGCCCAGGGGCACCAGCTCCCTGCAAGTTGCAGAGCATCCTCCTCCCCCCAGGAGGAAGCACATGGGGTCTCCTTCCACCGTGGAACGCTGGAGAATGAGTGGACCCTGAGTGTTAACATGAGTCTCTCCTAGAAAGGGCAAGGCCAGGCATGGTGGCTCACGCCTGTTATCCCAGCACTTTGGGAGGCCCAGGCGGGAGGATTGCTTGAGCCTGGGAGTTCGAGACAAGCCTGGGCAACATAGCCAGATCTTGTCTCTACAAAGAATATAAATATAGCCAGGTGCATTGCGGTGGTGCATGCCCGTAGTCCCAGCTACTCGGGAGGCTGAGGTGGTTCCACAATCCTAGCTCCCCAGTGGTACCACGGTACCATGCCTGCCAACTTCCCCAGAGTCCCAAACCTACCCACCCACTGCCTGGCTCAGAGCCCTCCTTCCAGAGGGAGATTTCCTGGGGGCCACTGTGGCCGCCATCTTTCCTGTCCTATCAGCATTTTAGGATTGATTTCCTGACTCAGAGAGTGAGGAAATAATTCTTGCCGCTTGCTTCTCATAAAGCAATTTCTAGGACGGTGGAGGGAGCCAGTGGGGAGAAGCTGTGGAGAAGGGTGTTTTGTGTGTGTGTGGGGGGGGGATAGTACACTTTTTTCTCCTATGAAAATTTCCATATCCACCAAGAAGTTGAAGTAATTGTGCAGAAGTCCTGTCACCAGGTTCTATCCTGGACACTGAACTCGTCTTGCTTCCTGGACATCTCTTGGATTCTTTTTTTTTTTTTTGAGTCAGTGTCTCACTCTGTCACCCAGGCTGGAGCACAGTGGCATGATCACGGCTCACCACAGCCTTGACCTTCTGGACTCAGGTGATGCTCCCTCTTCAGCCTCCCAAGTAGCTGGGACTACAAATGCTTGTCCCCATGTCTGGCTATTTTTTTGATATTTTGTAGAGATGAGGTCTTGCTGTTGCCCAGGCTGGTCACGAACTCCTGGGCTCAAGCAATCCTCCTGCTTCGGCCTCCCAAAGAGCTGGGATGACAGGCATGAGTCACTGTGTCTGGCCAGTTTCCTCATTTAAACACTCAAGGGTGCGGGCAGATGATGCCCAAGGGTCCATTCGTTCGCCAGCACTCGATGATGGAAAGAAGCCCCATGTGCTTACACAACCTTCCCCTGGGCCACCGAGCTAGGGCCACCACGGGGCCATACCTGCCACCCTCCCAGACAGAACCCCAAATCCCTTCCCCCACCCTAGCCACACCCACCGCCTGGCTCAGAGCCCTCCTTCCAGAGGGAGATTTCCCAGAGGGCACTGTGGCCATGCCGTCTTTCCTGTCCTATCAGCATTTTAGGATTGATTTCCTTTTCATAAAGCAATTTCCAGGAGGGCGGAGGGGGCCGGTGGGGAGGAGCTGTGGAGAAGGGGGATGGTACATTTTTTTCCTCCTGCGAAAATTTCCACACCTACCAAGAAGTTGAAGTAATTGTACAATGAACACTCGTGGCCCGTCACCAGGTTCTACCCTGGACACTGAGCTCGGCTTGCCTTCTGGACCTCTCTTGGATCGTTTCTTTTATTTTGAGTTGGGGTCTCTCTCTGTCCCCCAGGCTGGAGCGCAATGGCACAACCACGGCTCATCGCAGCCTCGACCTCCTGAGCTCAAGGGATCCTCCCTCCTCAGCCTCCCAGGTAGCTGAGACTGCAGGCGTGCACCCCCACACCTGGCTAATCTTTGGATGTTTTTGTCGAGATGAGGTCTTGCCGTCTTGTCCAGGCTGGCCTCAAACTCCTAGGTTCAAGCAATCCTTCCACCTCGGCCTCCCAAAGCGCTGAGATTACAGGCCTGAGCCATCGCACCCGGCTGAATCGTGTCTAGGACCAAAGCCTCATTCCCAAAGGGACCCAACTGCGGGCCAGGGTAGAGGAGCTCAATTTAAGCATGGGGGTGTCTCAGAGACCCAGGACCTGCGGCCCCTCCCCCTGGCCTTGCTACAGCCCTGTGTGCTGGGGTCTGGGCTGCCTGTCTGGTCCCTGACCTCGAATGTACTATTGATCCCCAGGGAATGCCCTCCCCACACTCCGCTCTGCTCCCCTGTCCCCAGGCTGCTGCAGGCAGTGCCCGGCCCACCGGCTCCTGAGGGCTGCCCACTGGATGAACCTCACTGGACTCAGGGCCCTGCTCAGCCTTTCCTCCCCTCTCTGCCTGTGGCCAAGCCAGGTGGACAGCGGGTGGCCCGGCCCTCGGCAGCCTGGCATGAGAGAGGAGCCTTCCCGGAAACCCCTCCTCGCCTCCCCCTGCTTTCTTGGGACTGCGCCCAGCAGGGGACTTGAGGGCCAGGCTGCCCAGGTTCATGTTCTCTAGCTGGGTGACCTTGGCAAGTCACTTATTCCTGCTGTTTCTCAGTCCGCTCATCCGTGAAATGGGCTCATCACAACACATGCTCGTGATGCTCCTTGTGAGCCCTGTGTGAAGTACTTGGACCCTCACCAGGGTAAATGTCAGCCCTTGTGGTGACACCTGCCGCCACGATAGTCTCATCTCACCACCTGGCCGTCCCCATGTCTTGGGCTCCGTCCATGCAGGGGTGGTCCCTCCCCGCTCTGCTTCCCTGCCCCACACCTTTGCCTGCAGAGCCTGCTGTCCTATCTCCCCTCCTCCCAGCCACAGCTAGGCCCCTCTCCATGCCACCTCCTCCGTGAAGCCTTCCTGACGCCTCCCTCTGGAGAAGACTCTCCCTCCAGGGAACCCCTGTGTCTCCCAGCTTGTGCTCTAGTCTTCCTAGTCCTTATGTTCCTTCTGCTGGAGTCCTGGGCCCTTCCCTGTCTCTGCCATCACTCCTGGGCTCCATGGGGACCGAGCCTGGGCCTTACGACACCATTGGTGTCCCCAGAGCAGAGAAGTCAGGCTCTGGACGCAGAGAGAGGGGCTTGCGATCTCTACCTGGTCACTCGCTAGTCGCATGGTCACAAGCAAGTGGCTGTACCTCCCCGAGCCTTGGTGTCCTCTTCTGTGAAATGGGACTAATAGGACTGGGTACCTCCCTGCGGCTGTGACAGACAAATGAATGCTTGTAGAGACCTGAGCACAATGCCCAGCACGTGGAAAGCTCTCCATCAGCAAAGAGGGGTGTGGGATGTGAGTGATGTCATTCCGCCTCTTAGCGTACGGATGGAGAAACTGAGTCCAGGGATGCCCTGCAAGTCGGCGGGAGAGGCGGGACTGCTGAGGCCCAGGCCCAGCCGACGTGCAGGATGATCTTGGCCTCAGTTTCCCCTTCTGCACACGAGGTGGTGATGACCTCCCCCTGCCCGAATGGCTGTGGGCAGCCTCCTTCCCGGGGCAGCTCACGGCCTCCACCTGCCCTGGCCCTGCATGCCCAGCTCTCGATGCAGTCCTGCTAACACCTGTAACCTTCCCTCTGCCTGCCCTTTACATCACCAGCCCGAGGCCTGGCTTCCACAGCAGTGTGTCACTCGTAATTAAGGACTGGGCCCAGGGAAGGGACATCTACCTTCTGCTGGAGCTGCTAAGTCCATCTCCCAGTGGTGGAGAGTAAAGCGTCGCACTGACCTAACTCTTGTCAAGGTTGAATGCTGCACCAGCAGGCCTGGCAGGCGGGAGCTGACGGGACTCTGGACCAAGAGGGCGGCCCAGGTCTGTGAGACAGGAAGGTCCAGGGAGTCGGCGATGGCCTCAGGGGGCTGCAGTTCTGGGTCATTCAAGGAAGGGAGAGAGGAGTCTCCAATTTGGCTCAAGAGGGCACAACGGGACACCCTGTGAGAGGCTTGGAACCAGGCAAGCTGGGTTTGGAAACAAACCCTGCCACTTAGTTGTTGTGAGACCTTGGGCAAGTTACTTAACCTATCTTGGCCTCAGTGTCTTCATTTATGAACATGGGAATACTAAAAGCACTTACCTCCTGAGAGTTTTGAGGATTCAATGAATTCATATATTTAAAATGCTTGAAGCAATGTCTGGTAACTTGTAACTCCAAAATTCACCACTAGTATGCTATGTCCCTGGCTGTCCTATACTAAAATGAATCTCTGACTCGTGTGGCCTTGAGGGAGGTGGGACTTCTCTCAGTTTTCCCCCTACAGCGGGCACAGAGTAGGTGCTCATAAATATTGGCTGAATCGAAGGACTTGTGAGTGTGAGAAGAGAATAAATACATTCCTCGCAGAAGGGCTGGTGACCGTCTGCCAGCTCTGGGCCCCGGAAACATGACGCTTGACTATGCTGTCTGCTCCTTCTGGTCACAGTCGTGGGTCAGAGAGACTCGGGCTTTCCAGATCACACCCGATGTGGGCTTCGGAGGCCTTGTCTCCCTCCTAGGCTCGCGGCCTCAGGTCCCTACGAGGGACAGTGGTGGACAGAGACGGTCCACTCCCCACTCCAGGCCTCCTTTTGTGGGCAGACTCAGTTCCTCCTCAGTAAGATGAGGACACTGACCCCCATGGCACTGACTTCTGGGAGTGCTGGGAGGACCCGCTGATGGGGCAGCCCGGGCACCTTGCCCTGTCCTCACCGAGAGGAGGCCTGGATCTGGTGTGGCCCTTGGCCCGGGGTCCATGGGTCTGCCCTCCTGCCCCACACTTAGGGATCTGGCTGTCTCTCTGCCTTCCTGCAGCCTCGTGGAGTGGGACAGCTGGGGGCCCTGGCTCCCAGCAGACCTGAGCCCACATCAGAGCCCCGCTGGCTGCTGTGGGATGTTGGGCACGTCCCTGACCTCTCTGAGCAGTCTGCAGTGCTCTCACTGGGACTGGGGCATCCTAGGGTCGGCCGTGCCGCGTGTAGTGGGGTGGGAGGGACAGCTGATGGGAGGGGCTGGGCCTGCCAGGCAGGCTGCGGTCAAGGACACGCCTCCTCTGCAAGGCTGTGTTCAGGAAGGGAGGGAGAGAAGATTCCAGAAGCTGTCCAGGAGGCAGTTAGCAGGCTTAGACCTTTGGGGAAGAAGCTGGGAAGAGCTTGTCCTTGCTCGATGACCCAGTCAGCTCCAAAATGCTCCTCTGAGCCCCAGACTGGCACTCAGCCGGTGGCCTCAGCTGGCTGGGAGGCCCGCAGGCAGCAGGCAGGCCGGCAGAGTGGGCGTCCCTCCCCAGGTACCTGGCCAGGTCCGGGCACTCAAGACGACAGTGCCCAGTCTCCAGTTGTGCTCGTGTCCAGCTCGGGGGACCCTGACCCCTCCCGCCCCTGCCCTCTGGCCACATCCCCAGGCCGGCCGACCTGTGGCAGCCCGGCCCAGCCAGCTGTCCTGGCCCCACTTCCCACCCGGTTGTCCCCCTCGGAAGCTCTGGCTGGCAGGGAGAGGCCTGTGGAAGCCTGGAGGCCAGCCGCCCTCCCTTTCCACCACGGTGGCCCGTATCCTACAATCACCAGCTGTCAAGTGTGATCATGCAGTTGCAACGGAACCTTCTCGGGGAACCATCTCCAGCCAGTGTCAGACCTGCCACGACTCCACATCTGGTCCCCCTCTTTCTCCCTGGTCCCGCGTCCTGGGGCTCCTGCCTAGACAGACCTCTTCAGAGCCCTGGGCTGGGTCCCGTCCCCCTGCCCTTCTCACTGCCTTCCAGGCCGAGCACTTCCAACTTACAGCAGCTGATGACCTAGGAAGCTTCATGAGACCCCATTTCCAGAGGCAGAAACTGAGACCTGGGGAGAAAAGTCACTGCAAGACTGTGGAGGGCACCGGCTGGACTCAGGGCTGCTGGCTATGTGCTCCTCCCTCGCCTTTGAAAGGGGGTGCAAAAAGGGGGGCAGGGCTTGGCGGAGGGCTTGTCCAGCCTTTTGCTTGGAGGACAAGAGCAGGCCTGGCCGGCTCCTTAGACCCTGAGGGTTTCCGGGGTGGCGGGGGAGGGGGGAGGCTTGTGTGCAGGCGTTCCCCCCTCAGTGCCCTGGGAATTCTCTGCAACTCTGGCTAGATCCCACCCAGCCTCCTCCTCCTCTGTCTCCCCTGCAGAGCGGCAGCCTGGCTCCCTGGGGTCGGTGGCCACTGCCATTGCCTGGGGCCAGTTAATGTAATTAGTCCAAGCCCAGCGGGTAGCTCACCCCCTGGGGCTCTGAGATAGGGCAAGGAGCTGATCATTTTCCACACAGCAGGCATCCCGGGTAAGGAGGAAGCTGGAAGCTGAGGCTCTAGCCTTTCAGAAGCCCTGCCCAGACCTCCCCACCATCTCAGGCTACGCCTCCATTCACCGACCTCCCCTCTCCCTGGACCAACCTAACAGCAGCTGTGTGTTGGTTCTGCCAGCGAGCCACCCTGTCCTCTACAGCTATCCTGTGTATGGCAGTCTCCTTGAAGGGGGGTCCTGCAGACTGAGCCCTGCTTTCCCGCCGATGTCCTCCACAGGGGCAGAGCTGCTTTACTGCCACTTTGCTCAGGCCTGCAGGAGATGAACCAGCCTTGAGAGGGGATGGCATCTGCCCTCCACCCTCAGATCTTGTGACCCCACTTGGAAACACAGATGGGTCTTCTTCCCAAGTAAAGAGAGGATCCTGACACTCTACCTATGAGTCCCAGGAATGAGCACTGGGCTGGGATTCCAGAGACTTGGGTTCAAGAATCTGGCCACAGAAAGTGGGAACCCAGTGTCCTAGAAATCTGAGGTTGTAGCCTGACCTCAGATGCAGGCTTTGCCTCTGCCACCCTAGGGTCTCCACCCTCTTTTCCTATGGGAACCCTCACCAGCCCCAAGGCGACTTTCTTTTCTTGGGTGAGCTTGAGAAGCTGATCAGGAGTGCCTCCTGTGAACTCATGGCCCAGGATCACATAGCGAGAGAGTAATGGAGCCAGGCTGGAGGGAGCCAGATGGCTTTAAAAAGCACCAGGCGTGCACAGGGATGGACGCAGCGATCAGCAGAATAGAACAGAGTCCAGAAATCAACACTCACATTTACAGTCAATTGATTTTCAACAAGGATGCCAAGATAATTCAATGGGAATAGAACAGTTTGGTCAGCAAATGGTGCTGGAACAGCTGGACATCTGCAGGCAAATGATGAACCGGACCCCTCCCTCACACCAAGTACGAAAAATGAACTCGAAACGCATCATAAACCTAAATGAAAGAGATAAAACTACAAAAACTCTTAGAAGAAAAGTATAGGTGTGAATTGTGACCCGGGGTCAGGCAAAGTCTCCTTGAATACGACACTAAAAGCACAAGTGACAAAAGAAAAAATAGGTCAGGCTTGGTGGCTCAGCCTGTAATCCCAGCACTTTGGGAGGCCGAAGCAAGTGGATTGCCTGAGCCTGCGGGTTCGAGATCTGCCTGGGCAACTTGGCGAGACCTCGTCTCTACAATAAATAAAAAATTAGCCAGGTGTGGTGGCGCACACCTGTAGTTCTGGCTGCTTGGAAGGTTGAGGTGGAAGAATTACTGGAGCCCAGGAGGTCAACACTGGGGTGGCCGAGTGTGCCACTGCACTCCAGCCTGGGTGACAGGGTGAGACTCCGACTCAAAAAATAAAAAATAAAAAAAAGCAAACGGGACTTCATCAACACCAAAACATTGTGTCCTTCAAAGGACCATCAAGAAAGTGGAAAGACAACCTACACAAGAGAAAAAGATGCAAACAATAACCTGAGAAGGGACTTGCATCGAGGTGAGGTAATGAACTCTTACAACTCAGTCATAAAGATACATGTATCTCAGTTGAAAATGACCAAAGGATCTGAACGGATATTTCTCCAGAGAAGACATCCAAAAGGCCAAAAAGCATACGCAAAGGTGCTCGGTATCATCGGGCACAGGGGAAATGCAAACCAACGCCACAGGAAGATATCGCTCCACATCCACTACATTTGAAAAGACAGATAATACCAAGTGTTGGCAAAGGTGTGGGAAAACTGGACCTCTCCTGTGCCACTGGTGAGAATATAAAATAGTACTGTACTGTGGGAAACGATCTAGCAGTTCCTCAAAAGTTCAAATGCGGAGTCACTGTTTGACCCAGCAATTCTGCTCTTGATATCTCCCCAAAAGAATTGGAACTGCATGATCACACATGAACCTACACAAAAACGTTTACAGCGGCATTATTCTTAATAACTGAAAAGCAGAAACAACCCAAGTCCCATGCACTGATGCCTTTTGACCAACAAAAAGCAGTCTATCCACACTGTGGAATATTATACAGCCTCGAAAAGGAATGAGGTACTGATACATGCTGCAGCGTGAATGAACCTTCAGCACATTACGCTACGTGAAAGAAGCCAGACTCAAAAGACCACATATTGCTTCATACCATTTCCATGGGATTATCCAGAACTGGTAAATCCATAGAGACAGAAAGGAGGTTCGTGGCTGCCAAGGATTGAGGAGGAGAGGGACGGTGTAGACGGGGAGAAACTGCTGACAGGTACAGGGTTTCTTTGGGGGTGATGGCAATGTCCTAAAATGAGTTGTGGCAGTTACACAACTCTGTGAACATTCCAAAAGCCATTGAATCGTAGACTTTCAGTGAGCGAATTATCTGTTATCTGAACTATATCTCAATAAAACCATTTTTTTTAAAGCAAGGAGAAAAGCACCAGACACACCTAGCAACAATTCAGTAGAACATACTAGAAAGAAAAAAAAACAAGCCAACCCATACCTGTCATGCAAGGTTCATTAACAACTGTCTTTGGGACAGGAGCCACGTCCCCTGGCTCCAGACTTGGAAAGCACATGGGGTGGTCTGTTCCCCCTCTGGCCTTGGGTTCCAATTTCACGTGGAAGCTTCCAGGAGAGAGACAGGGATCCTGAGAGAGAACACTGCATTCGTGCTTATCAACAATCTGTGCGTCTTGGCTCCCTTCTCAGAGGTAAAGTTTTGAAGAGCAGAGCGGCTCACTTGTGGGATGGTTCTATACCCCTGCTCTGCCACGTGCTGGCTGGGTGACCAGGCAAGGGACGTCCCCTCTCAGCTTCCTCATTGGTCGGAGGGAGAAATGGTGGCACCCACTGCGCCGATCTTTGTGAGTGTTCAGTGAGTCCCCGTGCGAAAAGGTTAGCACAGTGCCTGGCACGTTAGTCCACACTCAAAGCAGAGCGTATCTGCCTCAGAGTCAGACACTGAATCTTGGTCTGCCACATCCTGGCTCAGTTACTGTTGTGGGTTGAATCGTGTCCCTGAAAACGATGTGTTGGAGTCCTAACCCCGAGTCCCCATGAACGTAACGCCATTCAGAAATAGGGCTGTGCAGATGTAATCAGGTTAAGATGAAGCCAGACTGAATCGGCATGGCCTCTAATCCAATGACTGGTGTCCTTCTAAGAAGAAAACCTGGACGCAGGGACCCAGACCCAGAGAGAATACCATCTGGTGACAGAGACTGGTGCGACGCACTTACAAGCCAAGGCATGCCAAGGACTGCTGGCAGCCCCCAGAAGCAAGCTGAGAGGTGAGGAGGGGTTTCTCCCTTTCAGAGGAAGCATGGCCCAGCGGACACCTTGATCTCAGACTTCCAGTACTGTGAGACAGTCATTTCTGTTGTCTCAAGCCACGCAGTGCAGGGTGGTTTGCGATGAGCCCCCCAGGGAACTCACGCCTTGCCCAAGGCTCTGTCCCCTCCTCTGTGCCACGGAGCCAGCTCCCTTCAGGAACGTAAGTCCATGGAGCAAGGACACGTCTTGTTCTCACTGTATCCCCTGGACCTGGGCCCCTGGGGGTGCTCAGTGAGTGACTGAGGAATCGCTCGCATGAACAAATGAAGCTCACCAGGTCATCTCCTCAAAGAGGCCTCCCTGACCACTTTGTTGAAAACAGTCCCAACCCTGCTGCTTGTCCTGACATGGCTTTACCACACTCTAACATCCAGAATATTTCATGTCTTTCCTTGTTCATCTTCTGCCTCCCTGACTGCCCTGTCCCTCAGGACTGGGTTTTTTTTTTTCTTTTTTCTTTCTATCTCATTCACTGCAAACTCCAATGCATACAACAGTGGCCAGAATGTACTAGGTACTTGATGTATATCTGTTAAATGAATGAATGAAAATTAGAATGCCCAGGTATGTGGACATCCAAGTCTTTCTAACATAGGGGAGCAAGAAAAGACCTTCTGGTATTCTGTTCACTGAAAAAATAAGTTTGTGGTATACTAGACCGTCCATGTCAAAAGTGGACATGAACTGGGATTTGGACTCAGGGCTATTGGACTCCAAGTGAAGTGCTCCTTTCAGAGGGTTTCAGTGAAGGGTTGCTGGATAGCTGAGGATAAGAGAACCAAAAATGGGGATGGGGCCCTGGAATGGATCGGCGAGGGCACAGGTGACATTCTCTTCCTCCTAGACCCCTTCAGGCCCTGAAGGGCAGACAACCCGTGCGACCATCACCATCAGAGTTTTTGAGCGCCAAGTGCCTCTAGTCGTGGCTCAGCCTTCACAAGATGCCCGCACTCTTCACTGTGTCCCCACCCCTGTTCTTGCCTGGCAAAGGTAGGGGTAGTTCCTTTGGGAGTCAGGGCTGCTGTTAGGAGCACCCGCTCTGGACGCAGGCAGACCTGGTGGTATCCCCCGCCCCGTCACTCACATAGGCACGTCCCTTAAGCTCTCAGAGCTTCTGTTCCCTCATCTGTAAAATGGGTATCCCCATGCCTTCCTCCAAGGGCTCTTGCGAGAGATCAGCATGGAAGGTGATCTTGGCTTTTAGCTACGGTTTGGAAGTGTCCCAACTGGTGCAGAGAAACCTGCCCCGTGGCCTTCCAGAGACACCAGAAAAGCAGCCATGTTTGGCTTCTTCGGGCTAGAGGTGGGCTGCCCGGCCCTCGTTTAACTGATTGTAACCGCACACCCTAAACAGGCTCCCTCCCCACAGCCCACACTCCCAAGAAGAACCTTCGAAATCCTTCCACGACTGTGTATAATGCGTTCCTGGGGCCCAGCACACATCTTTCAAATTGGCTTACAATTTATCTGCAGCGCGGATACAAACGTTTTAATGACTGTGTGCAGCACACACCCTCGGTGTCACCCACGAGGCTCCCAAATGTCTTTCCCCGCCACATAGTGGGATGTTACAGGCGTGAAATTACAGCCGCTCTCGAATTTTGCTCTTCACCCGCAGGCCTCGGGAAACGGCTGTGTTCGAATGTACTAGATGCAGTCATGTGGCCTATCAGGCCATGCAACTCTCAGGCGGAACTGCTCTGTGCTTTGATGCAGGTGGGCCCTCTGTGGTGAGCACCTTTTCGGCCCCCCTGTCCCCACTGTCCAGGGACCTTCCGGCTGATCTCTCACATGGGAGGACTGTCTCACTCCACGTTTGGCTGCCGTGGCTTTTTCCCTCATGACACAAAGGAGACCCCAGCGTCCAAGGACCTCTGCTCACCCGGAGGGAGGGTCTTTGTGGATGCCATGTCACAGACAAGCCACAGCAGTGAGTAGGTCTTAATTTTTGAAACCCACCTTGAATCTTATTTGAAGGAGAAGGTCATGGCGGTGGGTCTAATGGTACCTGGTTTTAACTGACTCAACGGCTGTTTGTCATAAGAGACGCTATTTATTGATCATCCCAATGTGCCAGGCCCTGGGCCCAGAACTTTCTTCTCTACGGATTATCTAACTCAACCATCCAGCCTTGGCCGAGTCCCATCCTCCTCGGAGCCAGGTTTGTGTCATGGGCTCAGTAGGGTTCCTGACTCGCAGGCCTGCATGGCCAACAGACTACAGACCATGCCGTAGGAGAAATACCCCCTCCTCAGCCATGCTGCCTCCCCCAACCCACCCTCCACCATTCGGGGCCTTGGTGAACTTCAGAAGCCACCATCCTGTGGGGATGTCAATCCTCTCCCCTCCCTGAACCTCAGCGTCCTCATCAGTGCATTGGGGCCCATAGTACTCCTGACCCTGCAGGGCTGCAGCGAGGGTTGGGCGACATGCTCAGTGTGGAAGCACTTGGAATTGGCACGGATCAGGTGAGCGGAGGCGCTGCTGTCGTGCTCACAGTTGGGACACAACCCGCTCCTTCCCCGGGCGCATGGTGTTAGGACACGCAGACCCTCAGGGAAGAACCCAGGAGGACAAGTAAGCAGAGGTCACTGTCCCTGCCACTCCTGGCTTTGGTCCAGGACAGCCATCCCTCAGATGGGTGCAGGGCTCCTAGGAGTCGTGAAGAGTGGGCTTGTCTGTGCCAGGGCTGAAACCAGGGGCAAGAGAGAGGCAGCCACGGCTGTGCCCAGGAGGGGGAAGGTCGAATGGTGACAACAGAAACAGCAAAGTCCGACAGGGTGAGCCCTTCTACGAGGCCTCTCGCTGGGCAAAGTGCTTTGCCAACCTCATCTACTTTAAGCCTCACAACCACCCTGGCGGAGAGCTTCCTTGTCCCGATTTACAGATGGGGAAACTGAGGACCAGAGAGACCCATGAACCTAGGGTCACATGGTTGATCTGAGATTAAGATCCAGTTAAGAGCCAGTATGTCCTTAACTTGTATGCTAAAGGATGGGGGGCAACCTCCTTTGTTTGGGGCAAGGGAAGGTGAGAATGAGAATGAGGGAGGAAAAATACATTTGTATGCAGAAAAGTTTATGGATATGGATGCAGATACATATATATATATATGGAGAGAGAGATGGATGGGAATGGATGGATAGGTAGGTAGGTAGGTGGATAGACGGATGGATGAATTGATGGGTGGATGGGTGGGTAGATAGATAGGTAGATGATGATAGACAGACAGACAGATAGACAGATAGATAGATAGATAGATAGATACTAGATAGAGAGACAGAGAATTAGTATTTGAGGAACTATCTATAAGTGTAGACCAGTGGTTCTCAAAGCGTGGCCCTTGAACCAGCAGCGTCAACATCCCTGGGAGCTTGTATGGAATGCAGATTCTCAGGCCTTGCTCAGACCTGCTGAGTCCGGAGCTCTGGGGCTGGGACCCAGCCCTCCAGACAGTTCTGAGGCAGGCTCCAGTTTGAGAACTGCTGGTTTTGATCACGAGATCAGGCCTGAGATGGCTGTCCCAACACAACGAGTCGCCTCGTGTCCCTGAGCCTGGGTCCCCTCGTGTAACAGGAATCATAACATCTCTGGTTCATGGGGGCTGTCACGGGGCTTCTGAAGGACCAAGCGCGTGAAGCCAGCTCACGCGCTGTCAGGCACATGCCAGGGAGGGATGGGAGTCGTGTCAGCTGCCGTGTCAGGTCTCTTGGGCACAGCAAGGAAAGGGGCATCCACCCCATCAGGAGAGGCTGGGCTGGGAGAGCCAGTGGCAAGCGCAGGGACTTCTGAGCAGTGGGCCAGCCAGAGTGGGCTGTGAGGGGTGGGTGCTATGCCAGGCAGAATCCTGCTGGGATGCCCTGAATTTCCAGGGGCCAGCCTTCCCCTGCCTCCGGGCACCCAGCGGAAGGTGGGGGTGCCTCCCTGGCCTGTCTCTGCCTGGCATTTCCTGGAAGCTTCAGCCTCCTGCTGAACTGGGCCCTGCCGGGCAGTTCTGTAATTGGAATCACAGTGGCAACTCCTACCCCCAGCACCCTGGTCTCGTGGCTGGTACCATCCACAGAGAGCTGTCCCCTGAGCCCCAGGCAGCGACCCAGAAGGAGAGAAGTCCCGTATTCTGTGTCGGCCAGGAGCACATCGCCTTGCTCAGCAGGGACCATTAGGCCAGCTATGCAACCTGGGTCAGTCCTACCAGACCACTCTGTGCCTCGGTTTCCTCACTAGCCAAGGGATAATAGATTCACAAGTGTCAGAGCTGGGAGGGAGCTTAGGATCATCTGGCCAGACCCTATCATGCATGGTTGGGGAAACTGAGGCCTCAGAGGGAGGGTGACCTGCTCAGAGTCCTTTGGTAAAGTAACGGGGGGTGTGGGCTTCATGGGGAAGGTGGCTTGGGAGGACTCCAGCCCTGCTTGTAGGCACCATGAGTGAAGCCTCAGTGGCAGCGTCGACACTGCCTCCAGCCGTGTGGCAGAGCTGGCCTGGGAGGCAAGATGCCTTGATTCTGTCCTCAACAATGAGCCGCCTGATACCACAGGAGGCTTTTGTGATCCTGGCTGTGTGACCCTGTGTGATGCGTCCATCCATCTACCTCATCTATCTACCAACTATTCATCCTTACATACAGACATCTATCCATCTACCTACTTACCTACCTATCCTTCCCTCCCTCCTTCCTTCCTGCCTTCCATCCATCCACCCACCTCATCTACCTATCTACCTACCCACCTATCCATCCCTCCAAGTCACTTGCGTTCTCTGACCCTCCATATCTGCATTTGCAAAACGGAACTGACAGTACCAGCACATATCCTTGGGTTGGTTGTAAGGGCTACCTGGCGTTACATGCGTAAAGCACTTTGCAGGTGGCCTCAGAGGGGCCCTCCCCGAGTCCCTCCCTAGCCAGCTGCCACCCACTGGCAGCCGCTCTTCATCCCATTCCCCTGTTGTATCTTCCCTCCATTTCTTGTCCATCTCTGTTCCAGGACCCATCCATACAGAGGTTTTGTGCTTGTCCCTGTGCAGGAGGGGGAGCTCTCTAAAGACAAGCACTTGGTCCTGTAAAAGTGTGTGTCCATCCCAGCCACTCTGCAGGTGCTCAAGACATTTTGATGAACAGAGGACTGAGCATGTTTCTCATCAGACCGGGAGCCCCTTGGCAATGCAAACTGAGTCCCATCCTTCCCAGGTTGCTGGTGCGGCCAGCCCAGAGCTGGGCACCGAG